TATTGTGGGGTTTCTTTTGGTTTGTTACTGGATTTATTCTTATTTCACCTTATTATTGCTTTGTGGGCCGCGTGTGATAAGGTCCTAGGCCACGCTGCTAAATTTCCCACAAAAGTACAAATCTTGAATTTCATAGCATTGAGCCATGGCAGTTAAACTGGTGTCAAACTGCATTAATTTGCATGTGTAGATGCAGGCTGTAGTGTCTCTGCCTAGAATACCTTTTAAGCAATGTCTAAGGTTGTCCCATTTGAGATGAGCTCAGGAGAAATGGAAGCACAAACTACATTTGATGTCTTTTCACCAGAACACTTTTTTGAAAACTGATCAATTTTTAACTTCTAATTTTTTTTAAATATGGAGGAATAATGTGGACTGCTGTTTTCCTTCTGTAATTTATTCCTTGTTCTTAGAGTGTGGGTTTGATTCTTGTTTTTAATGTGGCTGCTGCTATTATTATTATTATTATTATTATTATTAATTATTATCTCTCTGATTTATTCCTTGTTCTTGGAGTGTGGGTTTTAGTATTGTTTTTAAATTTATCTGCAGCCATTACTATTATTATTGTTGTTATTTTCCCTCTGCAATTTATTCCTTGGAATGTGGGTTTGAGTTTGTTGTTTTTAATGCAGCTGCTGCTATCATCATCATCATCATCATCATCATAGTTTTCCCTCTGTGGTTTATTTTTCTTGGACTGTGCGTTTCATTCTTGTTATTTTCAATGTAGCTGCTGCCATCTTCATCATTATCATTGTTATTATTATTTTTCCCCCTCTGTGATTTATTCTTTGTTCTTGTATCGTGGATTTGATTCTTCTTGTTTCTAATGTAGCTGCTGCCATTATTATTATTATTATTATTATTATTATTATTATTATTAGCAATAGCAATATTGTTATCATTGTTGTTGTTATTGTTTTCCCCTCTGTGAGTTATTCCTTGCCCTTGTGGGTTTGATTCTTGTTGTTTTTAATATAGCTACTGCCATCATCATCATCATCATTTTTATTACCATATTATTATTTTGATAAGCCATCAATGAAAAGGGCTACAAAAACAAACTATCAGTCAAACAAACAAAGCTTAATAACTGCAATAATTAAAAGTTCTTAATAATTACAAGTCCTTCTGCTCAAATATATATGGGAATCGCAATGGTCCTTACTGAGGCAGTGAACTGAATGGTGCTTACTTTTGAGTAGCAAGTGTAGAGCTCTGTTCTCCCTTCTTCGCCTCTCCCAGTCTTTTACTTTCTGATCTGTAAAAGAGGCCTGATTTGCACAAAAAGCAAAGAGAGACTCTCAAAGAGGAAAGACAAATTGAAGTGAAAGGGAACAAAGAGAAGAAGGGGAGGAGGGAAGGTTTTGAAAACAAAAGAGGACCTAAACACCCTGATGGCATCAGATCAGGCCTGATCTTGGAACCTAAGCAAGGTCAGCCTTGGTTAGTTCTTGGATGGGAGATTGCCAAGGAGTACCAGGCACTGTAGGCTGTATGTCAGAGAAGGAGTTGGCAAACCTGCCTCTGAGTGTTTGTGACCTCCAAGTCATTTTTGACTTATGGCGACCCTAAGGCAAACCTATCATAGGATTTTTTTAGCAAGTTTCTTCAGAGGGGATTTGCCATTGCCATCCTCTGAAGATGAGAGAGTGTGACCTGCTCAAGGTTGCCCAGTAGGCTCGATTGTGGAATCGAACCCTGATCTCAAAAGTCCTAGTCCGACACCCAAACTACTGCAACATGCTGTATTCCTTGTCTAAGAAAATTCTATGAAATTTATGGGGTAGCCATAAGTCGACAGGTGACCTGAAGGCACATATACACACAAGCCAGAAAATAAGGTGATGAGAGAATTCCAGCAAATATGAAAACAGCAGCAGCAGCAACAACAACAACCCAAACGTGGTCTCTTTTGTCCTCGGCTGTAACAATATCATAATAACTGTCTGATGCCCCTTTAGCTGCCATGAATTTCATTCTAGTGAATCCTAAAACCCCTCTGAAGAAATCTTGCCAAGAAAACCTGGCCTTAGGGTCATCATAAGTCAAAAACGAGTTGAAGGTACACAACAGCAGCAGCAACAACAAAATCATCCTTACAGTGCCATTATTATGACTGCCCGTGTCTGGCTTTTCTGAACAAGCTTGTTCTGCACATCTGAGTTACAATTTAAAGAAGGGACTTCACACTCGTATAGTAGCCAGCATGTGATAACTAGTCCTAATGGTTCACTGGAGTCTGGAGCCCATGATGTAAATTCTGGAAACTTTATGTTGCTAGCTAGGTTGGGTTGTATTGGATGGCCTCTGGTATCTCTTTGAGGTCTATGATTCTATTTTGCGGGGTTTGAATAGGATATGATCTGGATAGAAGTGTGGTGGGTGGACAACAAGTTTGTGAAATCTACTTTGTCTTTTATTTTTGAGAACCCCAACGTCCACCAGCTGGAACTTTTAGCAAAACAGTAGTTTAAAAAAGCAGGATGGATATGCAATTTGGGGAGTAGTCCTCACTGGCCAAATAAAGCGGCTTCTAACCACTTTGAAGGTGGGGTGTTTAGATGATGTACAAGGCAAAAGCGGGTGGAAAGCAAAACAAAGATAAAAACTGGAGCAAAAAGAAGATACTCTGACTAAGGCGGAAAACGTTCATTGTTGCACTGGCATATAAACAGCCTGGCACCAGTACGGGACTGCAACAAAGCAAAAACGTGATTGCCAATAATGTCATGGATGGAATGACAACATAGACAAACCATACAGTTCAACAGGGAGGCATGGGGTGAAGCGGATATGTATGAGGAGCCTCCATTATTGTGCCTTGCCAGTGTATCACTCGGCACACCAATGCACTGATGTCCTATATGGGCAGTGCATCGCACATGTGACTGTGTGTCCAGTCATACAGGCAGGTGTCCAAGGAATGGCATCTGGGTGGGAAGGGAGAGGTAATTTGATTGCAGGTGATGTGTTTGTGCAACAGTGCCCATGCATGATGGGGAGGCGACAAAAAACAAAACAAAAACACCACGCTTGATACTGCATGGTGTGAATAGCCTGTGGGTCTTCGGCCTGCTTTGGAAGCTGGCTCTGCGGACAGCGAGGTTTCGACCTGCTTTCAGAAAAGCCAGGATTGATCTGCTTTTTCCTGCCCAGCTGCTCCGGCCCTTGGAGTAAAGCAACAGGACACCTCTGAGTGCATCTCAGTCCAGAATTTGCCTTCACTACCAGAATGTGATGGCTTAGTGGTTAAGAATGCCAATTCTGACAATTGTAAGGTTGGTCCCAGCTTCTGCCAACCTAGCAGTTCGAAAGCATGTAAATGTAAAAGAGCAAGTAGATAAATAGGTGCCACTTTGCTGGGAAGGTAACAGTGCTCTGTGCAGTCATGCTGGCCACACGACCATGGAGTTATCTTTGGACAACGCTGGCTCTTCAGCTTAGTAACGGAGATGAGCACTGCCTCCTATGGTCAGTTATGTCTAGACATTCACACTATTAACTACTCACACAAAATACCGTAGTTGTCTACACTATTTTAAAAACTGGAACAGCATCTCTCTGCATCTCTCCATGTTGTTGCTCACACATGCTTGCCAGCCCTGGGCTTCTTGGCCAAGGGTGCCGGTGACTTCTGTGCCTGCAGCTGGGCATCTTGGTGGTGGCGGTGGTGGCAACATCTCTCAGTTCTCTCTGAAGCCTCTGGCTGCCAAGAGACAGTGGGAGGGATGACGAGAGAAGGAAAGTCCTCCTCTCCTCTCACCGGAGGGGAAAGATGCAGCAGGGCATGGAGACTTTAATCTTGAGTATTTTTGGAATGGTTATTCACACTACCGATGATGCAAATCTTTTTTAAAAACTCTGATAAAGCAAAAGCAAAGCAGCTTCATTTCTATACCGCTTCATATCAT